CAAAACACTGATAATGATACGGACAATGAAATCCAGACTGAAGTGGTCTCCGACAAACATGAGGAGCTTGTTGAGAACTGGAGGAAAGGTGACTCATGTTATATTTTAGCAAAGAGATTGGCAGCATTTTGCCCCTGCCCAAGAGATTTGTGGAACTTTGAACTTGAGAGAGATGATCTAGGGTATCTGGCAGAAGAAATTTCTAAGCAGCAAAGCATTCAAGAAGTGACTTGTGTGCTGCTGGAAGCATTGAGTTATGAAAGGGTAGCAGCATAAAAGTTTGGAAAATTTGCAGCCTGACAATGCAATAGAAATGAAAATCCCGGCCGGGCGCGGTGGCTCAAGCCTGTAATCCCAGCACTTTGGGAGGCCGAGGCGGGTGGATCACGAGGTCGAGAGATCGAGACCAACCTGGTCAACATGGTGAAACCCCGTCTCTACTAAAAATACAAAAAATTAGCTGGGCATGGTGGTGCGTGCCTATAATTCCAGCTACTCAGGAGGCTGAGGCAGGAGAATTGCCTGAACCCAGGAGGCAGAGGTTGCAGTGAGCCGAGATCGCACCATTGCACTCCAGCCTGGGTAACAAGAGCGAAACTCCGTCTCAAAAAAAAAAAAAAAAAAGAAATGAAAATCCCATTTTATGAGGAGAAATTGAAGCTGACTGTAGAGATTTGCATTTGTAACAAGAAAATGTTAATACCCAAGACGATGAGGAAAATGTCTCCAGGGCATGTCAGGGGTCTTCATGGTAGCTCCTTGCATACAGGCATGGAGGCCTACAAGGAAAAGATGGTTTCATGGGCTGAGCCAAGGACCCCCTCCACTATGTGCAGCCTTGGGACTGGTACCCTAAATCCCAGCTGCTCTTGCCATGGCTAAAAGGGGCCAGGTGCAGCTAGGGCTGTCATTTCAGAGGGTGAAAGCCCCAAGCCTTCATAGTTTTCCATGTTGTGTTAAGCCTGCAGGTACGCAGAAGTCAAGAATTGAGGTTTGGTGTGGTGGCTCATGCCTGTAATCCCAGCACTTTGGGAAGCCGAGGCAGGCAGATCACTTGAGGCCAGGAGTTCAAGACCAGCCTGAATCATGTAGTGAAACCCCATCTCTACTAAAAATATTAAAAAATTAGCTGGGTATGATGGTGTGCACTTATAGTCCCAGCTACTTGGGAAGCTGAGGCACAAGAATCACTGGAACCTGGGAGGTGGAGGTTGCAGTGAGCTGAGATCACACCACCGCAGTCCAGCCTGGGAGACAGAGCAAGACTCTGTCTCCACAAAAAAAAAGTCAAGAATTGAGGTTTGGGAACCTCCACCTCGGTGTTGGAGGATGTATGGAAATGCCTGGATGTCCAGGCAGAAGTTTGATGCAGCGGTGGGGCTCTCATGGAGAACCTCTTCTAGGGCAATGAGGAAGGGAAATGTGGGATTGGTGCCCCCACACAGAGCCATTACTGGGGCACCGCCCCTTGGAGCTGTGAAAAGAGGGCCATCTTCCCCAGACCCTAGAATGATAGATGCACTGACAGCTTGCACTGTGCACCTGGAAAAGCCACAGACACTCAACACCACCCCATGAAAGCATCCAGAAGAAAGGGTGTACCCTGCAAAGCCACAGCGTCAGAGCTGCCCGTAGTCATGGGAGCACACCTCTTGCACTAGTGTGACCTAGATGTGAAACATGGAGTAAAAAAAAAAAATCATTTTGGAGCTTTAAGACTTGACTACTGCACTGGATTTCAGACTGGCATGGGCCCTGTAGCCCCTTTGTTTTGGCCAATTTCTCCCCTTTGGAATTGCTGTGTTTACCCAGTATCTGTGCTCTCTTTGTATATGGGAAGTAACTAACTTGCTTTTGATTTTACAGTCTCATAGGTGGAAGGGATATGCCTTGTCTCAGATGAGACTTGGGACTGCAAACTTTTGAGTTAAGGCTGAAATAGCAAATAGGCATATGAAAATGTGCTCAACATCACTGATCATCAGAGAAATGTAAATCAAAACTGCAGTGAGACATCATCTCATCCCAGTTAAAATGGCTTATAGCCAAAGTCATGCAATAATAAATGCTGGCGAGGATGTGGAGAAAAGGGAACCCTTGTATACTTGGTGAGACTGTAAATTAGCACAACCACTATGGGGAGCAGTTTGGAGGTTCCTCAAAAAACTAAAAATAGAGCTACCATAGGATCTAGCTCACTGCTGGGTATATATTCAAAAGAAAAGAAATTAGTATATCAAAGAGATGTCTGTACTTCCATATTTGTTGCAGCACTGTTTAGAATTTTCAAGATTTGGAAGCAACCTAAGTGTTCATAAGCAGATGAATAGATAAAGAAAATGTGGCACATATACACAATGGAGTACTGTACTAGCAAAAATGATACCGTCGTTTGAAACAACATAGATGGATAGAACTGGAGATCGTTATGTTAAGTGAAATAGACCAGACACAGAAAAACAAACATTGTCTCACTTAATTTTGGGGTCTAAAAATTAGGACAATTGAACTCATGGACATAGAGGGTAGAAGGATAGTAACTAGAGACTTGGAAGAGTAGTGAGGGGTTGGAGAAAGGTGAAGATGGATAATGAATACAAAGAATAGAATGAATAATGATATATAGAATAAATATAGAATGAATATTTGGTAGCTCAATAGGGTGATTATAGTTAATAATCATTGAATCGTACATTCAAAAATAAGTAAAAATGTATAATTGGATTATTTGTAACACAAAAGTTAAATGCTGAGGCGATGGATACCCCATTCTCCTTGAAGTGATTATCGTGCATTGCATGCCTGTATCAAAACATCTCATGTACCCCACAAATATATATACCTACTGTGTAACCACGAACATTAAAAATTAAATTATAGCTGCACAAAATCAACTGTAGTACATACTGTACTACTATAATTTGTCATCACCACCTTGTGGTGGGATCAAATGTTTTGAGTATCTGCTTAAATCGCCCTGACTTGCTAGTAATTTCCTTGTGAAAATTACACCAAAAAGTAATCTCTCCTGGTTCTTGTGTATTTTCCATCATGTTTACTCAGAATTGTAATTCTTTAATAACACCATGGTAACTCCCATACCAGTTGCCACTAGTGGTGCTGGAAGTGCTCCCAAGAAGCAGAGAAATGTCATGACATTACCAGCAAAAGTTGAGTCGCTTGATATGTACCTTAGATTGAGATCTGCAGTTGTGGTTGTCTTCCATTTCAAGATAAGTGAATCTAGCATACAGACCATTGTAAAATAAGAAAAGGAAATTTGTGAAGTTGTACACCAGCAGTCATGAAAACATTATTTCACATTTTTTGCAAAATGTGAAATACATGTTAATTAACTATGTCATTGGTAAGGCTTCCCATCAACAATAAACTATTCGTAGTTTTGGGGAAGTCAAAGTTATACATGGATTTTCAACTGCCTGAAGGGTTGGAGTCCCTAACCCCTACATCGTTCAAGGATGAACTAAACATGTCCATTTAGCCATCTAATATTGATGCTAGGAAGGAACCTTGGAATGTGGATGTGTAGAAACCTGCCATATATAGAGCAACTATAGCAAGAAGCCTCTTGTTTAGATTTTACTCCTTTCTGCATAGGATCACCTGTGAATAGTGGGATGACTATTCACTTCAATAAACTAGGGATAGTCCTGGTTTATATCTGTTGTTCGGGCTGTTATTACATTATAATAATATTGTATACTATTATATAATTTATTATCAATTGGTGTTTCTTTTTACTTTTAATACTGCCCCATTTAGGATGATAAATTATATGGTCACTTTATCTGAAGTTACTACAGAAAGGGGTGGTGAGAATAGAAATAGGAATAGAATAGTGAGAACTATGCAAGGTAGAATTTAAGAGTTTAATTTCGAAGGTTTACTTCCAGGGTCATCAAGATCATCTCAATGTTTTACTAGGATGCACTGGACTCAAGTTGTTATACTCATGCTATGGTTTATTAAAGTGAAAGGATACAGAGTAAAATCAGCAAAGGCACATGGAATGAAGTCTGGAAGACTCCAATTGCAAGCTGTCAGGTCTCCCTTTCTATTGGAGTTACACAGGACATACTTAATTTCCCCCAAAATATATGATAATGTGTACAGAGTATTCCCAATCAGGGAAGTTTACCCTGGGGGTCAGTCACATAGGTATGTCATGCCTGCATGACTGACCTTGGCTGCTTAAGCTTCAAATCCTCAGAGAAAAAGCAGATGTTCACTATAAATCACATTATTAACATAAAGTACCTGCTCAAACTGATACAGCATGGCCCAAGACCTCCAGCGTAGAAAAACACTGTAATCAGACAACTTTCCGAAAGGTTGGAGCTTAGTTCTCAGGAGCTGGCCAGGGGATAGTCCTGAAAACAGTTCATTTATGGGAATGTATCAAGTTAGAACAACCCAAGCCTGCTGAGGCGACTGTTTTCCACACAATGTCATACAAATTATTCAATTTAGAGTTTGAATTCATGTAAATATGATTCTAAGGTCTGTGTTTTTTCCATAAGTAATTTTTAGCAGTCTTTTATGCTGATTTGATAATTAAAAATTACTGGCTACATTAGGTATAGCAGGGACTTGGACTGTGCCTCACCTTTCTTGATAGATATTTCCTAATGAGCTTTTTCCCCCCCCTCACATCAAAATAAGGAAGCTTAGTTGAGTATTTTTAAGTGCTTTTGTAAGCACTTAATGGTATTAAGACTCTCTAGTTTTAGTCATTTTCAAAAAAAGTTTATTTTGTTTCCTATACTTATATATTCAAAAGTAGTTTATCTGTAGCTAAACTTGGTAGGTTTAGGACTCTGTGTTTTTACTTTTTTTTGTTTTCATTTAATACAATTTTTAGTTTGAAAAAGATAAATGTATAATACAAAATTTTAGTTCACAATAGAATTGCCTTCCTTATAGATAATATGTTTGAATAAATTTAAACAGTTCTCAAAACCTTTTTTCTTCTTCCATAGGTATTTGTGGAAACATTAGACAAATGTTTTGAAAATGTCTGTGAACTGGATTTGATTTTCCATGTAGACAAGGTACTATTTCTATTGTCACATCTTCTAAGTTTTTTAAGAAAAACTTTAACTTAACAATTGTCATAGCAAAAATGGTTTTAATAAATAATTCTATTTTTATTCTTTTACTTATTATTCAATCATAAATTATTTTTACTATGAGCCAGGCTTTGAACTTGGTGGAAAAGATTCAGATCCTGACTTAGAGGAGTTCACGTCTAAGGGCAGAAACATGGCATTAACAAATAATAATAGTATGTACAGCATGTTAATGGGGACATAACTGAACGCTTGCCTTTGCCTAGGAGACTGTGAATGAAGGAAATTACATTTAAACTAGATTTTAAGGGATTAGTAGATGTTTCACACATAGAAAAGGAGAGGATGGCCCTACTGGCAGAGATAAAAAGTATAGGCCTTTTTATATCAGGAAATGATATTGATCAACAGGCCTAATTTAAAAGAATCATTAATGCCATGACTTTGAACTTTATTGTGAGACAATTTAATGTTTTCAAACAAGTTTTTACTGACATTACTGTTGCTTTTTTTTTTTTCCCATATTTTTTGGCAGAATGATTGTGTGTGTGTTTGTGTGTGTGTGTGTGTGTGTGTGTGTGTGTATGTTACAGACATTGGATTGGTAGGCTGGGAAAATAAACACAGGGAAATCAATTAAGAGTTTATTGCAGTAGTCCCCAAAGAAATGATTAAGACACTAGGATGAGATGATGTTTGGAAGAAGGTAGAACTGATAGGACTTGAAGGCTTGTTGAAAGCTGAAGGTGAGAGAAAGGAAGAGTGACAGATTTCTACCAGTATTGGTAGATTGTGATGTGAAACTTAGGAGGAAGAGATTCCACTTTGACTATGTGCAGATTTTTTTCTGTATTAAGTTTGTATAATCTAAGAGATTGTTTGTGAGTGCTTCAACCACTGAATAAGATAGTCTGAAAATTTTGGCAAAAAAAAATCCATTGTGATTTTTACAAATTGGTTTTATTGAGGCGTAACTTACAGGCATTAATATTCAACAGTTTTAAGCTTACAAAACTTAAGTTTTGACAAGTGTGTATAGGACATGTCACCAACATCACAGTCAAAATACAAGGAATGCATTTCATTATTTGTGAATGTCAAAAAAAATTACTTTTCTCATTAGTCAATATTCTAGATCATATGTCTCATTTACTAAGTGATTTGATTTTATAAATTCACTTTGGGCAGAGTACTTAAACATGATAGTTTTAGGAGTCTGTTTTTAGTGTTCTACTGTTTTTCTCTAATAACTATGTCTAATGCCTATTCACACGTTCAAAGACTCTTGTTATTTTTAGTCATTAGGGTTCACAGTATTCAAAATTATGTTTTGAAGACTAGGTGCAGATGCTCATGTTTATAATGCCAGCACTTTGGGAGGCTGAGGCCAGAGGATTGCTAGAGCCCAGGAGTTTGAGGCCATCATGGGCAACATGGCAAAATTTGGTCTCTACAAAAAATACAAAAATTAGCCTCCTAGCTGCTAGGGAGGCTGAAGTGGGAGGATCACCTGAGCCTGGGGAGGTTGAGGCTTTATGATTGTGCCACTGAACTTCAGCCTGCATGATACAATGAGACCCTATCTCAAAAAAAGAAATTATGTTTTGGTACATGATTAAAATTTTTAGAAAGCTGTGTTTTAAAATGACTGCTGAGAGGTCATCATAAGTTTATAGAAATACATTTACCGTCTTTTAAGAAAATTGAGGACTCTTGTGAAATGTGGTAAGAGTAAGGTTCATATATATGTATATATATATTTTTTTTTACTAGAGAAAGAAAATAAAAGCTTTTAAGGAAATTAAGCTGTACTCATCTACAACTCCCATACATGACAAAAAATATTTTTAAAACTTCTATTTCACATTAGTATGCATTCATTTTAGAAAAATCAGAAAATACAGATGAGAAAAATAAGTGAAAATCATCCCTATTCCAGAGATTGCTTACTGTTAACATTTTAGAATATGCATAGTTCTTAATTTTTGGTACAAATATGTACAGAAACAAATACATCTTTAAAACAATAAAGATGGGATCATACAACATGTATTTCTGTTTATTTTACACAACACCATATTAGTATTTTAGAAGCTGCCAAAATTACTCTCTCTCTTTGCTCTGGGCTAGATGTTTTAGTTTTTCAAAACAATGAGACAAAAGTTTTAGGATACAAAGAGTCAGAGATCAAATAGGTATTTCCTTTCTATTATCCAAAATGCTAACTTTGCTTTCAGCCCTTTGATGAGAGTAGGATTATTTTCAACTTTAAAAAATACACATATTTTTTAAAATTTCAGCTTGTAAGCAGCTCTGGGCTTTGTAACAGTAGACCTGTTCTGACTGGCTCAGTTCATACTTTCTTAAAGGCAGACACAGAGAGGTTTGCACACAACCCTCAGACTCCTTCTGGGCCACAATTGAGTAGATGAAAAAAAAGTATAGAGAATACCCCTTTTGTTATCAGTCAGGATGTAATGTATGTAAAGCTAGGTTATGCTGCAGTAGCAAATATGAAAACATTAGCCTCCTAAAACAAAAAAGAGTTATTTCCCATTCACGCAGTATGTTTTTCATATTCCACATGCTGTCATTTTGGGATCCATGATGACAAAGCTGCCACCATCCAGAACATGATTAGTTTCTATGTCAGAGAGAAAAAAAAAAAGCTTTCATTGGGTAAATTCATCTGCTTTTCAAAATATCGCAGATGATAGTTTTACCAAATATTTTGCCACTGCAAACATGGATCACTAACTTTCTATCCAATATAACAGTTTCCATGTGGCCAACTGCCCAACCTGTAAACCACTGTCAAAACATTATTGTGGTTGTTACCAGTTTCTTTTTAAAAATCTTTATGTGCTAATAGCTGTATCAATTACATAGGCTAGTTAGTCACCTTGAAGTAGTGGGACAGACCCTTCCCTGCTCACAATTGGTTTGGATGTAGAGACTAACAATGCCACAGGTGCCCCAAGAGGACAGGAAAAGGTTTATTACTCACATAACGAGGCTTTCTGGAGAAAGCAGAGAACAGCACCTGGCTTGTGTTTTATGGTAGTTAGATGGTGGGGATGGGGTGAGGATTTCTGCATGTGGGCCAGGTCTTAGGTTATCTAAACTTTCCACTATTGTAAAGGAAGAAGCACCCAGACTTTCTTAACAGCTTGCCCAGATGTGGGGCAGTAGAGGAAGGGGGACTAGTAGGACTTGAAGGCTATGAGCAGACAAGCATTAAAAATGGAGTCAGACCCTTTATCGCATACAGCTGTTATGCTGTAGTTTTTACCCCTAAAATCCTAAAATATAAATAATTCAGTTCGTTTCTTAGCTACATGTTTATTGTGGGTTTGTTGGGAGGAGCTGCTGAGTTATCTGCCCAGTTCCTGTATAGTGTGGCTCTGATTGTGCGGCCCCATATTGTTGCCCCTATTGGAAAAAAGCATCAAAATCCAGGGCAAAATGAGAAAGCTAAAGATTCTGTGCAGGGCTTAGTTGGAGGATGTATGACTTTGATAATTACAGCTATTAATATACTCTGTTGTTCTCTCTGCATCCCACCACTTGCCTCCACAAATGATTAGGATAGAGATTTGATTGGAGGTCCAAGTGCCTTTTCTACCCCTGAGGCTGGGAAAATGAAGACTTAAGAGCAGTGTGGTTTCCTCCAACTTGGTCCCTTTTGTGGATATTGACAGGCTGGTCTTAAATCACAGGCACAGAATGAGACTCCTTTTACTTTAACCAAATGAAGGAGTCTAGCCATTAATAGCATCTTGAAACCCAGACCTGAGCACAGTAAGTCAATAGAAAAAAGTACTGCCATCTGAACAAGAGAGATGAGGAGCAGATTGAACAATCAGAATATATGTTCCACGAAAAAGAACTATTGGAGAAGATAGAGTAACACTTAAAATTTTATATTTTTAAAATTATTTATTTGGTATGGGTGGCGTTTTGCTTTGTTGTCCAGGCTGGTCTTGAACCTCTGGCCTCAACTAATCCTCCTGCCTTGGCCTCCCAAAGCATTGGGATTATAGGTGTGAGCCACCACCTGGCTTCATTTGAAATTTTAAAATGATTTTAAAAATACTTAAGATTTGGAAAAGTCTTCTTGGGCTTGAAAAGTGTCAGACTGAAAAGTTTTATAAAGAAAGTGGTTGTAACTGAGGCTTAAATTAAAGTAGAAGATCAAATGCAGGAATTAATCTCAAAGCATAAGAATGAAAGGTAGAAAACAAGAAGAAAAGAGACTTTGAAGGATACATTTAACATGTATTATACAAATATTTGGAGGGTCTTATCCAGTTGGGAGAAAAAAAGAATGAAGAATAATTAAAGCATTTTAGTAGGAAAACAAGGTCTCTCAGTGGTCTAGAAAGGCTTGATATTTGTTTTATAAATAATAATAAAGTCATTTAAGAGGGAGAGAGATTAATGGGAAGTAAAAGCACAGTAGAGTCTCATATTTAAAAGGAAGAGAATAGTGTAATAAAATTAGATCAAACTAACAAATATTGGGAGAAAAGAGAAAGTATAATTAAAGGTAGAAATAATATTCAGTATGCTAAAAGTAAGTTGAATTAAATAATTCATTGAAGATAGAGATGGGTTTAAATAAAAAACACAGTTTATATAGGAATGGCCGGATAAATTCTAGAGTAATTTTCTTTATATTTACCAATTTTCATAACTGTTTGCTTTTCTTATATCCACCAAAAAAGATCATTTTTTTGTATCCTATGACATAAAAATTTTAGTATATTTGATTTGTCTTAATTTCAGATATTATTTTCTTTTCTGTTCAAGTTGCCCATCTTTGGCCAGTGGGAACTCCTTCAGATTGTCTTTTCCAAGTTCATTTGACCTGACCTACCCCCATCATAGACTTTGGTAGCTGTCTTGTGTTGTGGTCAAGCTAGATGTTCCAAACTCATTTTATTCATTTCCTGTTACAAACATGTTGGCAGCCATTCTTTTCTAGGAGTCCAGATTCCTTTTAGTTGGAGATAATATATAGTAACCACAGTCTAGAGGTGTTTGTAATTATGAAGCTGCTCGTTGTTTCTTGGCCTTCAGTGAAGAGCATTATATATATTTTCTGCACCAGCCTTCAAGTCAGCCATTTCTCCGAGGAACCCTGGCTTCTTTTAGTGGTGAATGATGTTTAGAAATGATGATTTGGGCACTGTGTTTGCTCATTGTTACTGGGGTGACATGGCTCCTGGTTCTTAGTGAACTGAGCTGAGAAATAGATGTATATAAACACAGCTGTTTCTAGATCTTGATATGTATGTTAAAAATCATTGACAAATTCTTAATACCTCATAGTCTGATACAATACTGGCTTTCTTGTTTTTAGAATTTATTCTGGCTTTCTTGTTTTTCATATTTGCAACTTGCTTTTCTGACGGAACTCAGTGAGAGTTCCCATTATAAAAATATTTGTCTAATAATAATGTCAATTCACCATTTTAAATTTTTATAATTTTGTTTGTTTGCTCTTACCAAAGTTTCATTTATCATTGTCATATGTATATTAGGTACTAGTCTCTTTTGTGATTTTCCTAACTTAATTTCTCATTCCTTCCTGCCTCTAATTCTCTATTTTCTTGCACAACTGTGAAAAATAATTTATATAGTAAGTTCTCATTTGTGTAAATTAGATATGCATATACACACTATAACAAGTGTGTGCACAGCAAGTATTCTAGGATACCTAAGATACAGCTAACTGATTAGCTTTGGATAAAGGGACCTCATAACAGATGCAGAGTGTGATAGAGACTATTACTCATACATAAGTTTCTTTATGAGCTTTTAGTCATGTGCCTATATTGTGGGTTTTTTTTTTAAATATATAAATTTTTCTTCAAAATTTGTGCATGAGGTATCCATGTTTCCAAATGAAAAATAGTAAATAATGATGTGTGTGTGTGTGTGTCTGTGTGTCTGTGTGTGTGTATGCATGTGTGTTTTGAGACAGGATCTTATATTACCTAGACTGGAGTGCAGTGATGTGATTTTGGCTCACTGTAACCTCCACTTCCTGGGCTCAGGTAGTCCTACTGCCTCAGCCTCCCAAGTAGCTGGAAGTACAGGCGTGAAGCACTATGCCTGGCTAATTTTCTGCATTGTTTTAGAGACAGGGTTTTGCAGTATTGCCCAGCCTGGTCTTGAACTCCTAAGCTCAAAGTGATCTGTCCACCGCAGCCCCCCAAAGTGTTGGGATTACAGATGTGAGCCACCATACCATTGGCCTCCAAGGATATTTTTTAAATTATGAATAAATTTGCATGAAATCTTACAAGAAATTTAAATTGAATAATATATATTTAACTTCTAAAAAGAGTTTGTTGAAAAAAATTAATTACCTTATAATACTTAGTAGTTCTAAGGTAAGCACTTACCTGAATTATTTGTTTAATTCTTAATGGTAATCCTATGAGTTGCCTATATTATTTCTGTCTCTATTTCATAAATAAGGTAACAGACTCAAAGAGCTTGAGGTAACTGAAGGGCTACAACTAATAAATGATAGAGTCAATGTTCATACTTATCTAATTTTACAGTCTCCATTTCTAACGTTACCACATTATTTTAAAAAAATTATAGCAGAGTAGATTCTTCTGTGAAATGTAATTCAGCTCTGAATTGTTGATTTTTTGATCCAGTAACATCTTATGAAAAGACATTAAGTTATATTTTTACTCCCCAACAGAAGATATCATATATTTATGAGAAGAAATCTGAGTATTACATGTGTAGAGGATTTGGGGATAAAAGCAATATTAAAGTACCCACAATTTTTAAAAAATTTACTTTTTTCCAATCTAGAACCTGTTAGAAGTACCATACTACATTGCTTCATTAAGTACCATGAGTATAAAATAACAACCTAATAATTGTTGGCTAAGAATCTGACATAAAAGGCCCATGTAGATTATATCTTAGTATTAAACTTGACATAATAATAATAATGGTAGTTAATATTTACTAGTCATTTATTTTGTTTTGAACACTGCATTGGATTACCTTGTTTATTCCTTTCAACAGTTCTATGAAGGTGGTACTATTATTTTTGTTTTATATCTCATTAAGCTCAGGCTTAAGGAGGTTATATAACTGCCTACAGCTTCACAGTAGTGATGAAAGTAGAATATGCGCCCATACTCCAAGTTGTTTTATCACTTATACTTTTAAAATAGACAAAGTGGTATTTGAAACAAAAAGTGAAATCATAAAACTTTTTTTAGTGAATTTTCTTTGAGTATATATTCTTTTTTCCCTTTAGGTTCACAATATTCTCGCAGAAATGGTGATGGGGGGAATGGTATTGGAGACAAACATGAATGAGATTGTTACACAAATTGATGCACAAAATAAGCTGGAAAAATCTGAGGTAAGAATGGAAAATGCTATAATTAAGGAAGGTTCTCAGCATGATGACAACTTACGCATGATTTGTAGCTTTCACTGTTTGTCCTTCAGTATCACCCTTTAGGTTCAGCCGTTATACTTATTCAGGTTTTAAAAAAAAAAAATGGAATATGCACACATTACTATGCTAAATATTCTGTGACTATTATCTACCAAACAGATTTCTGTATTCTTTTTTTAGCCACAATCATATAGCTGCCTTGGGTAATAAGCACAATTCCAAACCTTATTGCTTAAAAGAATTATCTGAGCAATGGAATCTAATATTTGCTTTGTAAAACTGTAGTCAGTAATTATCAAGGAAGTCTTAGAACTGATATTTTAAAGATATATAAATTTTGTGTTACAAAACTACTTCTGAAAAGAGAAAGGACAGGAAATGGGATTCTTATAAGGAAGTAATATTTCAAGTTATAAATAAATGCCTAGCATGTCTGAGTTCACATTCAAAAAAGAAATTCAGTACATTAATATTTTAATTCTAGATCTTTCCCTAAGATCACTGACTAGTTAAGTCACATATTTTAGACATTAATACATATATATTCATGGTTTTTATTGCATTCTCTAAGAGCAGTTTGTTATACTTGGCTTTCTGCTGTTAGATTCAACCTTAGATTGGATAAATAAGGAACAACCAGCACTTTAGCATTGTATAAAACCCTACTTCAGAATTTTAGTGACTCTTTGCTTAAGCACTAGGTTGAATATCAGTAGCAGGTGCTGTAGCTGAGCCACCCAGGTTCACATTATTTTAGTTGTTTATTACCCTAACAGAGGTTTAGAAAGATCAGTAGTTTTATCACTTAAGATCAGGAGTTCGAGATTAGCCTGGCCAACATGGTGAAACCCTGTCTTAAAAAAAAAAAGAAAAGAAAAAAACAGTTATCCAGGCCTATGGGGCGCCCCTGTAATCCCAGCTACTCAGGAGGCTGAGGCAAGAGAATTGCTTGAACCCTGGAGGCAGAGGTTGCAGTGAGCCAGGATCATGCACTCCAGCCTGGGCAACAGGGTAAAACTTCATCTCAAAAAAAAAAAAGATCAATAGTTTTGATATCTCATTCACCACTCAGCTTGTTTGAGGATATTTTTACATTTTTTATTTACAGCCATAACTCAGATTGGAAAAAAACACATTTTATTTATAATTATTAGTGTTAAGCTCAGATGTTTAGTTGATTTAAAGTAAATATTACTATGAAAGCATCAAGGTATTAAAAATACACTGGCATTAATATACAGCAGGCAAGTTCTGAAAAATTTATCTTGTTGGCATTTTAAAGGATCAGTTTAACTCAATTCTATGCCAATTTGAATTGAAGGAAGTGCAGGATGAAGAATAAATCTGAAATCTAGAAACAGTTGAAGCTTTCTTATAAAAACACTTGCCAGTGTACTTTTTTAAATTTAAAATAGTCTTGCATTTTTCTTTATCTCAATTTGCCATTCCTGTTGGTTTCCCAAAGGAGAAATTTATAATGGTAATGTAAACTAAGACTCTCTTAAGTAACTATATATTTTGTTTGTCCTATAGCCAATATTTAAAATATTGGTTTCTGAAAGTGGAAAATATAAATTAGGTTAATAGAGAAAATTTTGTTTTAGGATAAGGAAAAAGACTCATAATTTTATTTAGTATAACTGACTTGCAATGCATTATTTAGTATAGAAAAGATTACTATAAACCCTGAGCTATTGCTTCTAAAGTTTTAAAATGTGTGTCATTTGTTAAACATTGCTTTGCAAAACTGTATGGTTATAGATTTTAAATGCCAAGGGACAAACAGTGATGCAATCCTTTAATAACTGGTATAATGAATAGAGTATCTAGTAATTTGTAAACTCTGTATAATCATCTATAAAAAATATTGACCACTTCTCTGGAATTTTCACCTTTCCAGGTACTTAACTCCTTTTCATTGCTGGTGGTTCTTCTTTTTATTTTGCTACTTAACACATTTATGCCTAGTGTTCCATTATTGGAACACTAAGCTTGTAGGAATTATTTATAGCCTATCGCTCAAGTTCATTGCCAAGGTCTGATTTTTCACCAAAAACTTGCAACCTCTGGCATAAATGGATTAATGTGCTATATTGACCAAAAAAAATGATTGCATAATGGATATTTGCTTTCTGATTCTCAAATAAAACTTTGTTAATGAGACAATTTTTCTTCTCTATAAAGAACAGTAAAATGTAGAATTTACATTTCAATGGAAATAGTTATAAGAATACTATAACTTAAAATCCATTCACAGAAATAATGCTATTTAAAATGGTTTAGAATACTGGTGATGACTTTCTATTATTCATTCCCTGATCATCTTGCATCATACATAATTAGTTGTTATCTGATACCAAATCAGTTTTTCTTTTTTTGTCTTTTACAAGAAAGTATGTTTTAAATCTGATTGGAGATAAACCACAAAATTACACATTTTTTCTACATGTAAACCGCTAATATTTTAGTTATGAAATCAGATTTCAAGTCAAAGTAAGCCCTTTTAGTCCTGATCATCTTTCTAAAACAGTACTGAAAATTATGTTGACTAATTTTTCAGTAACTTTTGTATATTTTAAGTACGTTTGAAAGGCTACTAGCTTTATTCCAGACACATTGAAATGTCAAAAGCTTTCATATGTTTCATCTCCATGTTCCTTTAATTGGTTAAATTTACCAGAGAGACTACTCTGCAGAATAATCCAAAATTACTTGAAAGCAAAGTATAAACTTTTACTAATCTTCTTACTAAATTTCAGTTAAAATGTACTATATAAGCACAAACTTAAAGAAAAACTTGTTTGGCTGGGCGCAGTGGTTCATGCCTGTAATCCCAGCACTTTGGGAGGCCAAAGCAGGCAGATCATCCAAGGTCAGAATTCAAGACCAGCCTGGCAAACATGGTGAAACCCTGTCTCTACTAAAAATACAAAAATATTAGCCAGGCGTGGTGCCACTTGCCTGTAATCTTAGTTACTCTGGAGGCTGAGGCAGGAGAATTGCCAGAATCCAAGAGGTGGAGGTTGCGGTGATCCAAGATTGTGCCACTGCACTCTAGCCTGGGTGACAGAGCGAGACTCCGTCTCAAAAACAAACACACACAAAAAAGACTTGTTTAAAATCAAGAATGTCTTGATTGATTAAATAAGTGATTATCAGTATTTTTAAAAATCATATGAGAAATATTTTAGGAACATCATTTATCTTTGAAATCAGTCTGGGTATAGTTAAGACACAGCTTTTTAAATATAACCTTTGTCAGAAATCAAAGCTTTTATTATGTTGATATAAAGTTAGTACATTTCTGGTAATGGAAAAAAGTGAACCAGTTTAATTCCCAATAACTAGACAGGTAGAAGCAAAGCTCTCTCAGATCCTTAAAGAGAGAAGCAAAGATATACTCTGAATGTATTTTCATCTATTCTGTTTTGATAGAAAAATGGTTTACTATAACATTGGAATATTGGGAGAGGAGGGTTTAAGCTGGGAGGTTGATGGGACTGGGCGTGAAGTGTAAGAGGGACTCAGGAACCTGCCTAAGAATAAAAGGACTCCCTGGGGGTGGAGGTCGAGGGGTGGGGTTGGGGAGATTTGTTAGCTTTTATGTATTTCATATTATTCTTAAGACGGATAAATGGGTCTGAATTTAGTGACTACTTTTTGAAAGTCAGTCCTCTTTTTTTTCCCCGAACATCCTGATCTTTCTAGCTCTTTCCATTCTTCTCTCTTACAGACCTTTATCTTTCAGTCTCCCAGACAGGACAGGTAGACAAGGTATTGCTGACTTTGAGAAAAATGTACTATAACAAAGGGAAAGCAAAATGATGTCAAAGGCAATTAATTATTTAGGCCAGACTCAAAAATTCTTTGTGTTAGTAAACCCATATAGTCCCTGTAGCCTATTTTCCATTCTAGTTTCTACTTGTAGTTTCTTCATCTTTTATTGGACTTAGTGTATTTTACTAGTATATCATTGATGTCATGTTTGTTCTGTTTTGTCTGCCTGCATTGTAAAAGGAAAGTTTAAATTTATTTTAAACATTGTCATCTAACTGACAAATTGCATTTATAGAAATGACAATTTAATTTGTATATAAAAACGTAAAATTTATTTTGAGCATCATATGGCAGAACCAATCTTAATTTAACTCTCACAGATTTGTTTTTCTCCATCTCTAAATTAGGATTCTAACATAAAATTGCCTGCTGGGTTTTGGAAGCTGTGAATTTAAAAACCAAAAGCTGAATCTTTAGAGTTTTGCATACAAAATGGGAAGCAGCAAGGGCTTAGAATAGTGACTGTTAAATAGTACTTTTTCCCCTCAAATGGTTTTCAGTTCCAAAGTCTTAACAATTGCTTTTACAGTTTTGACCTGCAGGTGCATATTAACAGTGGCCAACAGAAAGTAAGTTTAGAAATCTTGTAAAACTTGACTTAAATGCTTGAAAAACTGAATTAAATATATTGACCAAAATACAGTGAGTGTTCACTGTAGGAAACCTTCTGACTTCCAAACATGTTATAATCAAAATCAATAAAAATATGTTAATGTTTTAGTTAGTATTGAACAAAAACCCTGAATATTTTTGCAAAGTGTACTAGCAAATATTTGAAATGTTTTTAATAGACCTCTGGTTTTACAAAACTAATTTTTCTTCTGATATTTGCTGTACATTTTTTCACACCATAAATTAACTGTGTGAATTGCTTTTCTAAAAGTTCCATGTACTTAGTGATAAGCAACTCTTTTGTATAAAACCATGTCAGGAAAAGAAATGTTTGTATCTCTGATTGAAAATTTCGAAATAAAAGTAATTTATTGAGAGGAAAAAAAATGTATAAACTTACTAGAAAAACATCACTAAGAATTGATTATTGTCATAATATCACAAAGCATTGCCTTTTAGCCACTAAATTTTAACTATATTCTCTGGATGTGTTTGAGAAGTAGCAACATATGGGTGGCTTTATAGTATCTTACTTTGAGATTGTGGGCTATATCACAAAACTGGGGTATCATTTTTGGTCCCTCTACTTATGTTATTTTGTCCCTCATATAGAGAATACATAGTAGTCTCATTCGCAGCATTGGTCAAAATTATTGCCAGTTTCTGTGTTACAGTCTATAACTTATGTTAAACTGCTATTTTCCAGCAAAGAACCACTAATCACTTAGGTCTGTTAACTTTCATTACTAAAACTGGTAATTGACCTTTAAAAAAAAAAATCAGGTTTCTGTTTCCAAAGAGTAGAGAATAAGAAAAGTGGCTATAAGATACAGATGTTGGAGGCTCAGCTCATGGGTTGGTTCTGCCTCTCTACATTGATATACACATTTGTTTTGTACTTCTACAAAACTATGGTGAGAATCCTTGAGGTCACTTGTAATGGTCAAAACTAGTAATAATAAATCCATGAAAGTCATTGGTCTGCTCTCTTTTTTTTCATGCAGGCAAATCCCGTGTTTGAAATTAAAGGTATAATTGAAGATAATCTGTACAAAATAATAATTTGGAAGGTTTTTGAATGTTTGAACATTCTAATTTTGTTAAAACTGTAAAATGCCATAGCTCTTCCTCATCAGAGAATTGTTATGAGCATATCTAAATCTGTTTATAATTGCAGTATTAAAGCACTGCCATTAAAGCAAAGAACAAGCTTATTATATAGCCCCAGATTAAAAGTTATTCTACCTCATATTGAGAAATTTTTAAAACTGTTGACATTTTCTTTTTTGCTCAAAAACATGCTTTCAAAATCTGCCATTATTTTGTTAATGATTTTGAGTCTGAAACCATTTAATATTGTGTTTATTAATGTTGGTGTTCTTTCACTTTGCTGTTAGGTCAAAATTATGAATGTGCATATAGCAACTTCCAGCAGGAAGGGTGGGTAAAGGTTTTAATATGTACAAATTGTTCCAACTACCATCTTATTATGCTGTAAACTTGAAAAAATATATTTTAAGATGGTAGGATGGTATTTTATGTCTTAGATGAAATAAATAACAAGATTACTACTTTCCTTTTCCCTCAAGAAAGTTGATCGTTTATTGCATGAGGAAAAGGGAGCTATCAGGGTCTTTGAAATATATTTTAGTAATGCTGCTTTTTCAGTTTTGCTTGCACATATTTTGTTTATTTTTGGGTCTGGCAATTTAAAAACAAAACCAAAAACAAATCATATCCATCCATTACTATCTTTGTGATTCTTCAAGTGCTTGAAATTTCCAGGAGTATGTCTGTATAAGTCTTCTATCTGTTTGGCCTCATTTTGGTATACCTGCAGACTTCATTTTGTTTTCTTTCTCTTAATTCTGTTAATTTATTTAATCTCATGGGAGAGAAAACATGATCATTCTTTTATATACTGTACTTCATTCTTTCATCCAATTCATACTCTTAACAGCTTTGGATTCACATATTTGTTTTTATTGGTGTAGTCGCTGCAGTTTACCTGCCATGGTTGTGCTCAAGTATAACATAGATGGAAACAAGTTATTTCTCCAGTAGAATTTCATTCTTTATTTCTGCTATGTGTCAACTATATAGTCTTAAATCTTTAAGAACTATGTTATTCTGTCAGAAATACCTTATTTTTACATTTAAAAATGTATTTACAGTAATCCCCCTATCTGTGGGGGATACATCCTAAAACCCCCAGTGGATGCCTGAAACTGTAGATACCACTGAACCTTATATATGCTATGTTTTTTCCTATACATATATACATACAATAAAATTTAATTTATAAAATAGGTACAGTAAGAGTTTAACAACTAATAAATAGAACAGTTAGAGCAGTATAATGTAATACAAGTTGTGTGAGGCCAGGTATGCTGGTTCACACCTATGATCCCAATACTTTAAGGGGCCAAGGCAGGAAAATCACTTGAGGCCAGGAGTTTGAGCCAGTCTGGGCAACACAGTGAGACCCCATCTCTACAAAAAGATATTTATATTTTTTACATTAGCTGGGCCACGTGTGACACACTTGTAGTTCTAGCTATTCAGGAGACAGGTGAGAAGATCACTTGAGCCTAGGAGTTCAAGGCTGCAGTGAGCCATGGTCACATCACTCACTCCAGCCTCAGGGACAGAGTGAGACCCTGTCTCTTAAAAAAAAAAAAAAAAAAGATTATGTGGATGTGGCCTCCCTCTATCACAATACTGTACTGTACCCACCTATTTTCAGACCACATTTCATATTTGACCATGGGTAAATGAAACCATGGAAAGCAAAACCGCAAATAAGGGGGACTGCTATACTGCTAACAAGTCAGGTAGACTTAATTTCTGTAAGTTTTAGCATTGAAAAGTTAAGTGTTAGTAGTAAAAGTTATTTTGTTGCTTTGAGTGTATCTTACTGGAAAAAAGAAATCTTAACCAAGATGAAAATTGCTTCATACCTCTGTGTCAGTAAACTAATTTTCTAATGAAAATTTACTTTACATTTTATGTTTTAATAAAAAATGTTTCAGACATTGTTTTCATGAAAGTCTGAAAATTAAATTTGTTTTATAGCCATTCTGGTGTTGACTGAGTGACATAAAGTCTTTTTTTAGCTCTAAATTTTTATATATAAACACTGCTAGCTAGTTTAAGCATCTACTTATTGATCAATAGTCCTTATCATATTTTCTTCACATTTTATATTTTGAATAATATAATTTCTTTTTAAAATGTTAGTTTAATTAAAACTTAAAGTACATATTACAATTTTAAATTTTCCTACCATTTCTCTTTATGTCATACTACACAAAAGTACTGAACATGCTTGAGAAATAATTTGATTCTCCTAATTCATTTGCGTGTTCTAAATAGTTCCCATCCTTTGCATGTCTATGGCTTGCTGCTTATGTTTAGAAGAATTGTAGTTTGTTGTACTTAGAAACTCCTTTTGATTTTACATACTAAGCACAAATATGCTGTTTAAATCAATTGCTATATTGATTTTATGTGTTCTCGTTAGCAGCCAACAGTCGACACCAAAGATACAACTCGGTCTAATGAAAGGAAAAGTTTTTTAACCCTTTTCTTTTTTTTTTTTTGCTTTAGTTTAGCTGTTCATAGTACAGGATATTATGGAAAAGAGAGCTTTATTAACATTTAATACTAAAAAATTATGTTTACTAAATATAGGTGTAAACCGTAGTGTCCAATACACAGCTATACACACACAGACACATACAGTTTCTCTTACAATAATAAAATCATTTAATAATTCATGCCTTTTAAAATATTTATAATCAAATATTTTGTCAATACTTTTCTATAGTCAATTAATCATTTGTCTTTTTTATAGAAATTTTGAAGTAAAGATAGTGGCAAATTGATCTTTTAACTAGAAAAATTACAGAATCCTCCAATCTAAAAAATGATACTATCTCCAGAATGTCTGCAATTTTGTAAAGTTTTCTTCCTTAGCAGATAACACTTCCTGGTAAAAGAAAGCCAAAAGATGGTAAATCTCTTTGAATTGGATTCTTCTTTGATCCTAACACAGCTTAAATTTTGGTAGCTAGACTTTTAACTTGAAATGATCAAATTAAAGACCCTTTTGAATATGATACATGCTACCTTAATTATTATTTAGTGGTATCTCCAACATCTTTTAGAGTAGCAGCAGAGATGGGGGGATAAAAACTTTATTGCTTCAGGTAGGTATAAGTATAGAGGTCAATCACATTTTTAGTTGTACACCAAGAATGACTAATATCCATTAAATTATAAAAATTAAATTCTCCAGCCCTACTTAGTATTAATTGGGTAGGGAGTTCTTCATTTGTATCACCCTTATCGTTGCCTGTGTAGAATATACTTACTATTAATACTATTCTAATTTTTCTATTATTTCCAATTCTGAATTGATAATCCATGGATTTTATTTCATTGCTTAACAATGTTTGTATCCTTTATTTAGCAAATAGTTTACACTGGCCTATTTTGTATCAGTCAAGATTTTTCTCAGGTAACAGCTTTATTATTATTTTTATTTTAGTTAACAAAGGTAGGATTACATAAGAAAAGAAAACTAAAGTTATGAAAAGGGACCTTAAAGCTAGTGTTTCTAATTTTATGGACATTGCCTTATATATAATCTAATCAAAGTGGAAGATTTGTTTTTGTTGCTTGTCCATTTTTATACAAAATGATGCCCCAAAACTCAGTGTCTTTGTTGGCTTTGTTTTATTATATAGCCTAAATAAAAATTAATGAAATCTAATTGGTATATAAATTAAACCTTAAATATGAAGGCTGTTAATGTAGGTGAGAAAAATGATATATATGCAATTTTCTTTTATTTTTAAGCATATTTTCTTTTAAAATTATTTCACAAATTATAAATGTTCCTACTAACAAGAAGGCCAAATATTATGTACTAGTGGTACTTACTGAAAATTTTAGAATTCATTTATTTATATTTACTACCTCTTGCATTTATGCTTTTCTTTCTCTAAATTTGTGCACTGTAAGCTGAGTATATGTTGCTGAATCTACGCTGTACGATAAAACATTTTTAATCATTATATTTTTATTAATGCATCAAAGGGCTGGAATGATCCTCTTTGTGTAGTTTCATCTTTAGGCATAACTATCTTTGGATTGAGGCTTTACTTAAAAGCCTATTTTTTGAATGTTCTAGAACTTTCTTAGAAAAGTTTAAAAGAGCCCTCACAATTTTAAAAACTAATTTTATTGTTTTAAATTGTTTTAAGGGTTTATCCCTAAGTAAAGAAATTAAACAAGCATGATCTATTACTTGAAATTTTTATTTCACAGCACATATTGATAATAAATGCCATTTTAAACGCAAAAGAAAATCTATCATCGTTTCAAGAGATCTTTATTAAGGAAACTAATGTAAATCATGCTTCATGCTATATGTCAGTTAAATCAAGATATAGGTGAAGATTTAGGGTTTATCATGTGAATATTGTGTGGTAGTGCACATTAATTTGTATTTAAATATTTACATTGTTACCATTGCATGTATTCACTGTATTTTCTAATGTGTCACTGTTTTCTCTTTATAAATTAGTATTTCAAAGTAACCATTCCATACCAATTCAAACTACCATCTGGTCTCTAAGCTTGTTATATGAAAATCTTTTATCATTGTCTTCCATTGTAAGTGTTTTATGATGAGCTACACCTGAGTTGTACATTTTCTTTTTCTTTTATTTGCTTCTATATACAGGCTGGCTTAGCGGGAGCTCCAGCCCGTGCTGTATCAGCTGTAAAGAATATGAATCTTCCTGAGATCCCAAGAAATATTAACATTGGTGACATCAGTATAAAAGTGCCAAACCTGCCCTCTTTTAAATAAAAATTTTTAAAGGCTACTCCCAGGTAAAATCCAGGGGGAAAAGTCATCTAAGTTTACCATGCAGTTGTTTACCAAAAATAGAGGAGGAGAGTCTTTAACTTTTGCTCTTGGATTTAAGTCAAGGTACTGTACAGAAGTTGTGTAAAATCGTTATGAAAGTTCAATGTTGCTTTTCTTGCTCAGTGATTTTAAAGAAATTGAGTAGTTCCTATGTGATTTTTTTTTTCTTTTCTAAACTGCATTCCTGTGTCCACCTACGGCATGCCTCTATGTATTGGCTACTACAGTGTTTTAAAAAGTGTTTCAGGTATTTCTTTAATTATGTACAACCTAAAATGTTGGTGTTTTGTATGGATCACAAGTGCAGCATTCCTTAATTTCTTCTGCTATTTGTCACACAATTGTTATTTAAAGAACCAAGTATGTATTGCATGAAAACATTATGACTTTTTTCTCTTAGTTTAAATAAACTCCAAGGTAACTGGACTTCTAAAGCACCTTTCTGTTTGCCTGATATCTACTTTAGCAATAATTTTTTTTACAACCCTCTGACCCAACAAAGTAAATAAAAGTATATTTTATCACTGTTAAGCAGGTGTAAATGTCGATTTATTTTATACTCATGTTTTTAATATTCAGGAACTCAGTATAATTATTCTAAAACTCAGTTATTTCACAAATGAAGAGCAGTCTATCTCATAACATTGTGCAAGATGAGATCTGGAGTAACAGGTGACAATCTTTCTAAAATGTATATTGAGGCTAGGCGTGGTGGCTCACACCTGTAATCCCAGCACTTTGAGAGGACAAGGTGGGCGGATCACCTGAGGTCAGAGTTTGAGACCAGCCTGACCAACATGGAGAAACCTCGTCTCTACTAAAAATACAAAATTAGCCAGGCGTTGTAGTGCATGCCTATAGTCCCAGCTACTCAGGAAGCTGACGCAGGAGAATCGTTTGAACCCAGGAGGTGGAGGTCGCTGTCAGCTGAGATCATGCCATTGTGCTCCAGCCTGGGCAAAAAGAGTAAAACTCCATCTCAAAAAAAAAAAAAAAAAAAAAATGTATATTGAGAAAATGTAAAGTCCTTTTTATACAAATAGCTTTAAGCTTTGCCTTCTGTACTTTTTTGTGGGGGAGGTTCTCACTCTGTCACTCAGGCTGGAGTGCATTAGCATGATCTCAGTTCACTGCAGCCTCTACCTCCCAGGCTCTAGCAATTCTTCCACCTTAGCCTTCTGAGTAGCTGGGACTACAGGCACATGCCACCATGCCCAGCTAATTTTTGTATTTTTTGTAGAGATGGGATTTCGCCTTGTTGCCCAGACTGATCTCGAATTCCTAAGCTTAAAGCAATCTACCCACCTCAGCCTCCTAAAGTGCTGGGACTGTGGGCATGAGCCACCACGCCTGGCCAACTGTACTTATTTTTTAAAATGTATGAGAGGGAAGAAACAGGACAGAAGGTTGGGGATAGAATCTAGTCTTGTCTGAATGTACGTTGTTTTGGAACCATGTAAATATTTTACATACTTAGTAAAATATAATTTAAATTTTGAAAATGTACCCTCTAAAAATTGAAAGCAGAGCAAATGTATTGAACTATGTAATGAGTTATGGCATAATGATCCAGAGGGGAACTATTTCACATAACTCTAAAACACTTGACAATACACCATTAAAGACCTGCCCTCTACACCCATGAAAAGTAAGTTGTTTTCAGTAATCATAGTGTTGGTGATATTTTTTCTTCTGAGGCTGGGTATGTGAAATGTGCGATAAGCTGAGGAGAAAGTGTGTTGGCACCTGTAGTGGATGCTCTGATGCACATCTGTCAAGACTGAAGCACTCAATTCTTCAGCTGCTGGTAGTGAGCGCTCAGCTGAGTTGCTCTCCGAGAACTGCCACCAGCTGGAGAGAACTGCTTCACCCGAAGCCATGGCTCCTCACCAAGGACGTCCTGCATCCAAGTGCTAAAGCTTGACCCCTCTGGCTAAGGCAGAACAGCTCTGAAAGACCATTCCAGCAGCTCCAGTGCTACCCATGGGATCAGCTGAGGCCTTTGTTGTGACTGTACTGCTATTTAACTCCACCTCTGCCCTGTTCTACTTCCTTCAGACTCACAGACTTTGATCCTGTGGCATACGATAGTAAATGAGCACACAAATCCACCTCAATCTGTTTTTCGGGGAAACTCATCAAAGCGGTTATTGCCAAGAATGGTCTGAAGAAGCAGATTCTAAAATGACATTTTGGAGCTGGATCGGCATTGGCAGGCTGGCAATGGAGGACTGTGTTACTGGTGGCAGTAAAACCATTTGCATGCTGTCGCAATGTAATTGTGGAAAATTTCACTGGTGAAGAACTGGGATGGGATACTGGGAATGCCCTGATAGGAACAATGTTTCAGAATTTGAGAAGTCCAAGGGAAGTAGTAATTTATAAAGAGCATGGAATTGGATGCTTCTCTGGGCAATCACTGTAAAGAGAAATGCTGACGGCAATTAATCACCAATTAAGGCTATGTATGAAGGCTACAGGGGCTCCTTGGCAGCATATGAAAACTCTCATCTCATGCAGCTGGAAGACAGGAAAGGCTGAGGAGCAGGCCCAGGGCTTAAGTTTGGCTGCAGAACTTTGCCAAAACAAACCTGGAGGAGCTGAAAGAGTATATGTGGGCCTGGATCCTGAGGGTTCTGGGTCAAGGGGGAAGGAACATAAAGTTGAATGAGAGATTATTTGTATTTAAGTACTTTCCAATGACAAAAGATGTAACACTGTGGGAAGACAGTGCTAACCTGTGGCTAGGGTAATTTTGGGAAGCTTGGGGAAAGCTGGAGCCACTTAGCTTGGCCCAGCTAAGTGAACTATAACTAGAAATACCAAGGCAGCCAAGGAATCAAAAGGCTCAGAGTATGTGTGCTAGAGTGAATATACTGTGTAAGGCAGCAAGGCCCAGAGGTGACTCTGTTTACCAAAGCAATAAAGAATGTGCTGTTTAAAGGGGCATCAGCATCATTCAACTCAGAACTGGCTGTCCTCTGGAGGCCTGGTCTGAAGGTAGGAAGTGTTACAGAACTGGGTGCCTTGATACTAATAGCGATGGTGGGGTCCTGAAATAACAGGGGTCAGATTGTGTGCTCTTCACTGCCAGGAGCAAAGTGGGTAAGTTATCTTAATGAATTGCAGGGTCACGGTGTCAGCCAAGGGTTATAGTCTGCAGTTTGATATACAAATGTTTAATGAAACACGGCTTCAGTAGATGTAAGATAGATGGGCAGCCAGTGAGGGCATTGCCTAATCTGTGCAACCAAAAGAAATCAAGAACAGATCATCAGGAGGCTGAGAGCAGCCACTGCAATAAAAAGTCATGAACCCTTATCCAGTTTCTGGTTCTGAGCCAGTTCTCAGATCCAGAACTCACTGATTGACAGAAACGCTGAATCTCCAGGAGGAAGGACCCTGTAATGCCACTGCAAATGCGTAAGCTAATTATTTTCCCAGTGCTTCCCCCAAAGGAACTTACTTGGTAATTGTGCACTGGGAAATGGAAAACCCAACGTATTGGGAATTATTGGGCATAGTTTCGAAGTTGCCATTGATTCCCAGGGACCAACCCTAGTTTGGTCTTTTAATTAAACCAAATAATCTCTGTAAGCCTGTTTTCTCATCTGTAAGTTGGAATGCCAGTGTTACTTACCTGATAGAATTATCGTGATGATTATATGATCTGTTCCATATAGAGTGCTTAGCACAGTGCCAAATACAAAGAAGTTCAGCATTTCATAAAACGGTGGCTTTTTTTTTTTTTTCCAACTTACGTGGCTTTGTTTCACAGGAAGACCATGCAAATACAGAAGGATCGAGTCACTGGTTAGTAAATAGTTTTTCACTTTCAAGTGTTTGTTCCTTGGAACGTGCTCATCTGGAACCTTCTCTTTCTGACATGGTTCTTAACTATTCAAGCTCCCAAATTTTGGTGTGCTAAGACCTTTCCTCACCACCACTCCAGTCTTCCTTAGGGTTGGGATGAGACTGCATATTGCAACACAGAAACTAAGATCAGAGTATTTTCCACAGTAAAGCTATTTTAGTTTGAAGGGGCAGAGGTTCTAATTATCATGTTTAAAACTCCCTTTGTAGTTTATCTTCCACTTCCTGGAGTTTATTTTTATAGGTTCTTTCATGTCTCAATGAAACTAGAAGAGATACTATACACAAACCTAAAAACCTTTATTCTGGAATTATTAGCAATACATGTTACATTTGTTTTTCAAAGACCTCTCTCCCCAATATGGAGGCTAACCTAGATTATTTTCATATTTCATCCTTTGACACTAACCACCCAACCCCACCCCAATGAGCTGGCCCTGTGAATGTGGCCTGGGCCTCCCAGAGAAAGTTGTACCATGTTGGTTTTAATTAGATATCATTTCCCAAACGTGGTATATTTTATGCTAGTTATTTGTAGAAGAAACAGAAGCTGGTTACTGACTGTTCCTTCTACCTTTAAGCTGCTTTCTAGTGTCCTACAATGGACCATATACGAGTAGAAACACTGAGAAAATTATTTTTTGAGTGAAAAGAGCTCTTAAATAGCTTTATAATATAGAAATCATTTTATTTTCAGTTTTCACTGGACCAGTATTACCTGTGCCCTGTTCAAATGATCTTTAAACGTACTTTAAATATGATTGCAGTAAAATCTACTAAAGTGGATTTTTAGATGACAGAAATTAGCTACCCTGCAATTCTGGAGATTTGAAACAATTTGCAGTTGGGGTTGTTTATTTGACTGAGAGTGGCAACCTGGAATAGGCCACTGTGTGCCAAGATGATCTTTTGCACCTATCCATAATCACCACTTAAGTTTCACTGTATAATAAACTTTTTTTAATGCAGGCATCACTTATCACAATCCTAATTCATAAGAGCTTGTGATGTTTTATACCAGTTAGGAAAGGCATAGTTTTGGAGCACAGGAAGGACACAGCTGGGGAAGGATTTCAGAAGAGATTGAACTACTGCTGGACACAGCTAACTGAGAGAAGACCGAGCCAGAGAGGGGTCTCCCACCTCTGCACTGCTGACATTTAGGGCTGGATAATTCATCCAGTTGTGGGGGTTCTCCTGTGCATTGCAGGATGATTAGTAGTAGCATCCCTGGTTTCTACTGACTAGATGCCAATAACAGCCCCCCACAAGTTGTAACAGCAAAAATATCTTCAGACACTGCCCAATATCCTCTGGGCTGCAAAGCCACCCTCAGTTGAGAACATCTGAAAGAGAGAATTAAGAGTTTTAGGGAAACACTTGGTATATAGTCTGTACTTTGTTAGAGCCATAATGGCAGGGCACCAACTATGAGCTTCTAAGAGGCATTTATCATATGAGGTGGAGAGGCTGACATTTAAAGCCCCTTGCAGTTGGATCCCAGTCTATACTTCTCAGGGTCTACTGTCTTCCTTGAATGCCAGTATTAGATACTCATTCAGGGATTTTGAAATCTATTTAGTGGGTCCTAACCCACTATTCCAATATTTCATTTTTTAAAAAATGAAATAATGGAATAGAATAAAATAATACAGAAA